CTGTAATTTTCATTGCGCAATTAAAAACTGTTTAATATTTATAATGCATGGTATAAATAATATTATTATATATAAGCATACTTTCTGAGAGAGCATACAATAATCATTTAACAATGTTCATTTAAGTTATAAAAATTATTTCTGAAACGTAAAGTTATAAAATTTTCTATCCACACACATATCTGCACATTATAAAAGAATATTATCATGCAAGAAATTTTACATGATACACGTAATATGATAACAATCACAGAAAAAAGAGATTGTCGAAAATTAAGCAAGAAAGGAATTGTGTGCACTTGTCGCTTATAATCCGTTCAATAAGACTGTTGTAAGACATAAATAATTGCATCTGCATCTAACCACCGAAATCTATCACGGAATGCAGTTGTACGTGCAATTATTGTTCAGTACAAAACCGTGCCGTATAACGGCTTTCTTGTAGCTCGCACAGTCGCGCATCTACTGGGTGACAACTAATTCGCAGCGAAGCCGGTTAAGCCTTTCTCGCTAGTTCCCCCGCGTAATTAGAAGGGACAAACTCTGAGGTACGCTAGGTTGTCTTCCGCTAATTTGCATTGGTTTAACAGCCAGTTTCAGACTGCTTGGCATCGCGTTACGTGGCCATCCTCTAATTTGGAAGGGCGACAACGGGAATCGGAACACGTTAACTCGTCTTCCTTTTTATACGGATTGAAATACGCTTCACGAAATGCAATATAAATTATTTTTTTATTTCTCACTATCTATTATATATTTTATACTTCTTATCACCTTATATATATATGTATATAAAAAAAGAATAACTATATACAAAACGTAATAAAATATCTACAAAGTCGTCACCTTTTTCATCCAAATAAAGCAATTGTACCCAATATAATCTACTTAAGATTTAGAAACTTTTGTATTCATTGAAAATAATTTTACAATAAAATCAAGAAACAATTTCAAAATATACAATGAAATCAAGAAACAATTTAAAAATATAAAAAAGATATAAATTTTAATTATTTTAGGGGGATAATTATGAAGGCCATAATGACAGATTTTCCAAAACATTCATTTCAATCATATTGGATACATTGCGTATATATGATTATCGATGTATGTATGATTAACGCGTGTGTGCACTAATATTCTGTAACGACGTATCGTCTATTGTTGTTTGTTAATAAAGGTAATTACATAGCTTCTATTATGATTACATACGATTAATAATAGCCAGCTAGTACTTGCTAATAGTGGCAATATCTCGATACAAACTGCTCGATACAACGATTGTTATCATTGATGACGCTACTTGAAATATTTCACATTACATGATTCAGATATTATCATTTTGTCTTTACATTCGAGAAATATCAGGTGGAAAGAGAGATTGGAAGTTACCAAAAAATATTTAATATATTCACATATATTATTATTCGTACAAATATATATTATTATTGAAAAAATGATTTTTCTATATCAATCTCTACATTAACAGATCGAATAAAGAATGTTCATCGTATTAATTAGACGAAATCTTCCGTCATTATGCGATGATAAAGATAAATAAAAAGCCAGTGCAGCTGATGTTCAAAATATACATACACTGTTAATAGTACCAATAATCAAGGAGATATAAGTTTTAGAAGTTTGCCATCTCCGGCTTTAAAACTGATGTCTTCCTCTTCTTACTGATTGGATGTTCTCCCTACTACACAAACTTCATATTCTGTTCTTGTAAACTTTATATTGTAATAACGAAACGGCTCTGATAAAATGAAAAATAAGATTGACAATTTTGCGGGAATTATACGATAAAACGGATATGCATATTGTCTGTCTCAAAAAAAGTCATATTTTTTAAAAATTGCCCCAATTTAAAAAAGTACATTTAGATAACATCTTACTATAAGATAAGAAATGTAAAACAATCAAAATGTTATTTTGATTACAATTAAAATTGAAAATAAGGTAATAATTAATATATGCAGACTTACATAAAGATAAAATAAATAAAATATATTTAGTTACATTTTACACTATGTAAAAATGTGATTTTAATGCAAATATAAAAGAGGATTTTGTACGATATCGTATAATCAAAATATTTATTTATTTCAATTATATAATTTAATTTTTGATGCTGATAAAGTGAAAATATAATTTGTAAGGCAATCTAATCAGTAGAATAGCTTATTTAGAAAAGCAGCAATTCGCTCATGAATGTTACGTGGTTGCTCGGTGATTTCAATTTAGATCTTCAATCTAATTTATTCTATGTCATACACTTAAGAAGTTTCTTATACATCGTACATTTCATTTCATTTTCCACGAAATATCAAAGCTTATCTTCGTATATGTGATATTTAATATTTTATATTATATATACAATATATACAACAAGATTTTATGAAATATCTTTATATAATAACAAATGTATACTTGATGGTTGATACTTTTATTTTCTTATCAATATCATCTTGCTAAAATATTAATAAAATTTCCTTATATTGTTTGCTGTTATTTAATTTGATCTAAGTTTATATTTATTGTTTTCTTGTTAATATCTGCGCATTTGTTACTTTTTATTAGCCCTTAGGCATCTCCCGATTTAAATGAGTGTATGTTATATTTATTATATTGGTAAATTAGATTATGCATCAATATATCTAAAAAAATTTTAATAACAATTTCTCTCTCTCTCTCTCTGTTGTTAACACACACTGATATTAATTATAATATCTTCAAATAAAAGTAATACTTTTTCACTTTCATATAGGATTAATATAAACATATTCTTATTTCCTGCAGAGATATAAAAGCATAAATAAATGTTAATACATTCCTCCGTAACGAAATTAACCTCATTTGTGCGCAATGAGTCGCAAATTATTATTCTCACTCGATAATCTATAATTATTCATTACGCTCATGCAACTGTAAATAGTAATTATTAATTTAGCCCAGCGGCAGCTTTTTGTGCACATTCGACCGAATGACACTTTGCATTTGTTGAAATTATTGCCCAATCCAGGGAGAAGAGCATGCCTTCAACAATAATAATTATTTGCAGCAAACAAAATATGTATTATATAAAATCAGCAGAAGCACTAAGATTTTATAATTACTTTTTGTATATTTAATTTACTGAGAATGTTTTTGTCTAAATTAATAATTTTTGAAATTAATAATTAACAATATAATGATAAATATTAATGACCAATATAAAAGAAGAGATTTGCTAAGCAAAATCAATTTGGTACAAACGTAATGATATATAGACATGTGGGTTACAATGAACGCTCTGTATAAATGTAATGAGAAGCGTATTTAATTACGCGTACTAAATTGCATGTAATTAAAAATATCCGATTGAACTTATAAAGAACGATCGCGTACTTTCTCGCTAATACATTATTCATTATAAAAATTAAACAACTGTATAGAATATATGTATGTAATATAAAGTGTTAAAAGTTAAAAACTTTCACGTATAATTTTTATAAAAAAAGATATTTCAAATAAAACACGTGTTGCATTTATACAAAGATATTTGATGGCTGTAATAATTTTGTCATAGATGGTATGAGATTTACAATTTGTGCAGGATTAAAAAAAAAAAAGGTAGTAAATTATTCATGAAAAGAATTCATGATCGGGATGAGAGTGAAGCGTGCGGATCTTGATTCTATTAGTTCATTGCATGTGACATCGCCTGACGATGGACCACGAGGGACAGGCGTCTCTAATTAACCCAGCATCCACTACAGGTGCAGGTATTATAGCTGCGCTGTATCCACGTGTTAATCGGATTGCCCCATGCGTGCAGTGCGTTACTCGCGAGTCTCGTGATAGACTGATAGATTCGAGATTTCGAGTTATGAATTCTCTTCTCATCCGCGCGTCAATCTTCTCCTATTATCACCGTCCTATGCTTTACGTTTCAAACTTCTCTTAGAAATTAATATGCTGGCTATGTTCGTTAATGGCATACCGAAACAAGCAATATGTAGCAAAAGCAAGATCAATGTCCGGGTTTTAAAGGGTATCATACCGGATCTGACATGATCTGTCGACAATTCATGCTATCGAAACGTGTCTCTTGATACAAAACGATGCGTGCAAAAAAAAATTGTTGCATCTATTTCACACGCGGTCTCTGTTAAAGATTAAAAAAGATGAACAATTAAACGAAAAGGGTTTCGCGAACGTCAACGCGCGGTGTGGCGCGGCGCGTCGCAACGCCTTCGTTTTCGTTTTAATTATGACTATTCAGAGGCGCTCTGTGACCGGCATGGAAAACGTGCGTCGCGTCGCGTAGCGTTATGCCGAGCGGAGCGCGTTGCGTGCCGGACGCTACAATAAAAACCCCATGCCGTTCCGCGTCTGAAGCGCGCGGGCGCGATTAAAAAGTGCAAAAATATGAATGCGCATTCCGCCGAGCGCGACGACTTTTTTTCGCAACCAACCGGCCGCCCGGTCTCCGAGGTAACGTCGCATCGCGTCGTCGCCCCGTTGTTCCTCTCCCCTTATTTTGTTCGCACGCGGTTTACATTCGCGCGACGCTCAACGGCCGGCTTTAAATATGCAACTCGCGCGACGCTTCCGTCGCGCAAAACGCGCCCACACGTTTGCAACGGCGGACGCTGTCCGTTGTTGATTCGCGAATTAGGCGAGCGCGTGTTAAAACTGAAGAGATCAGAGACGAACAGATATAAACGCGGTTTGCCTACGAAAGAAGAGCAGCTCGTAATGCAAAAAATCTCAAGTATACTACGAATTCAAACGAAAGCCGGAAAAGAAGGCTATATAGGCTATATAAGCCAAGGAGAAAAAATACACAAATTTCAATATAAGCAAAAAAGCATAGATAATTTAAAAACATTCCATGTTGACTTGTCAAATATTTTACTACAGATCATTTTCAATCTCAATTGATGCGTTGAATTGACGTAAATTATGACACAAATTATACCTGTATTGGAGTAAAGTTTTCGAGATATATTCACCTGTCATAGTAGTAGTCCCTGAAACATATAATAAAAACAATTTATATTAGACAAATGATCAACAATAAACATATTATTATAATTATTATCAACGCAATACATAATTTTTTTCTTAATCAGAGTTCATTAAAAACATAGCAATTATTTAACGAAACAATCGACATTATATATTATATAGGATGTGAGGCATTTTACTCTATATTCCAGAAAGGGGTATAGAGTAAAATGCCTTTTGTATTATTTTGAGCGCAAATGACAATTAATTTGATATAATATTGTTGAATAACAATCACGCAATATAAACGACAAAATGTAGGTATGGAAAACATTCACAAATTCGCATCGGTCAAAATATTCGAATGTTATTCCGCAGACTATATATCGCGGCTCGAATGGCGAATCGATTGACGATTACCAGAGCGTGTAATTTGAACTACAGGACTCTCCAAAAGAGAAATAATGTTGAATATTAGTTTATGGTGTGAATTTCTCTCTCTCTCTCTTTCTCTCTCTTTCTCTCAGTTTTGTGGTTTAACTTATTATATCTATTTAATTATATGATATTGAAAAATAAACAAAGAAGCAACAATGTTAGCTTTGGAGTTCCATAATTTGTTAAAATGAGAATATTTTGTTAAAATGAGAATAAAAAATATAAATTTGTTTAATGTAATAATCATTCTTTAGCGTATTTGGTCTTTTTACATTTGTTCGTTAGTTTATATATATATATACACAGTTAAAAAATTTATATTTCTTTGTTAAAAAATAACTCTTTTATAAATAGCTCGGTCCTTTTTGTAAAACGTTACCTTTTGTAAAAAAAAAAAAATTGAAATCCAAATAAAAGAATAGAAAAGATCAGTCGCTTCGTAATATCTCTGTCACTCTCTCCAGTTTTGTTGTAGAAAAATGTATTGTTTTACAAAAAGAACTGGTACAATCTTCCACGTTTTTGTAATAATCGATTTTACATATGCCACAGGCGTCATAAATTAAATTTCTACGATCACATAAATACATATTCGCTCGACTTTGCGAGATTTTCCGACAGACGTTCCAAAGATTTTCAGACATGGTGCCCGCGGAGAGCCGACAAAACGAATCTTCTGGTAATCGAATCGCATCGAACTTTAATCGAATTCGTCCTACGAGGAGCGTTTCGGTCAATAAATGCTCCATTAGTTACAGTTTAAACCTGCGATTTCTCGTGGCAAAAAGGACGAAGCGGCGAACTTTCCACTATGAAACACTGATAAAATGGATGCGTTTTAACAGGAAATTGCCAATTACTTCGATCGCAATGTCAATATGGCGATACGCAAATTTGCCATTTTTTCTAAAGCGAGGATCCTTCAAATCTAACAATTCCGATAATTATTTTGCAATTGTAATATTTTCCTTTTTTAATTTTATTAAAATATTTAAATGCGTTAACTGATAATTTTAAATGACGAAAAAAACTTCAAACCAAAATAAAATTATATAAAATTTTAAGTGTTCCATTCTGTATGTATTTTCAGTGATCTTATTTGCTGCATTTTATTATGGTTTCTCATTCTATCCTGGGTATTTTGCCAATTTACCTATGTCTTCCTTTAACTACTCAAATATATTACAAGGTAATCCTTTCGCCTGATAACGTAATGTTAAGCAGCGAGAGAGAAAAACTTTCAGGAAAACGCATAAAAAGAAGAAACAGATAAATGCTATATTGCCATTTTTATTTTACCAGAATTTGTTTATACATATTGAAAGTTATGATAATTAGCCAATGATATATATAACCATAAAAATAAAAATTTTATATCGACTAATCAAAAATATGAAAATATTTAATGTTTTTTATAATTCAATATTTATCAAAGAAATATTTTCATTACTATTAATTCTTATATATTTTAATATATCTTACATTTTATATGACAGACAATAATTTACAATGCAATATTACGTATGCAAAACATCCCCGATCTTCTATTTTTCTTTTTTTGCTCAAGAAATATAGTTTAATTCGCACATACATTTGTTTTCCGACGCCCTCTCTCATATAATCTAATAAAAAGAAAAAGAAAAGAAAAAGAAAAGGAAATCAAAAAATATGGAGGAATAATTAAAGCCTTTTACGAACCACGATTCTAGTAAAATGCGTCGAGGACGTCCGTTACTGAACGCTTTCACAGCGCGTCACATTGGAAAAATAGTTGGTGGAATGGCCGAAAATCGATCACGCACGAAAATCGAAAAGCGGAGACACGTCCGAAACACGCGTGCTGCAGAATAAAAAGGGCATCGTCCTAAACGGTCGCATGTATCGAAAAATGGCGCTGCAATTAGGATGTCGGACACCTACCCTTTGTTATTTAAAATGTCTATTGAGTTTAATATTCTCTCCGTTTTTTTTATTTATTCAGTTATTCATTGTCGGCCGGCAACTTTTCGTCGATCACGTACCAACATTTGCTCTCGTTCCATTTTTATTAAACCGTTTTCGACAAATTTAGCAAATATTACGTGTCAGCGGCAATAGTAGTTTGAAATCTGATTAAACATGTATGGAAAATCACGAAATAAATCACCAATAATGCAAAATAAAAATATAAAAATAACAAAAAAAAAACTAGTTTGAATAAATTAAATTTTATAATAAAATAAGAGGGAGAGGAGAAAGACTAAAACGATGAAAGCGTATAATCTGTAACAGTAGTTACAATAATTGCATAAATATAAAAAACTAAAAAGTTGTTTTATTTTATCTTACACTCCTCTCTCTTTTCAATATCATGTCTTTCCTTTTTTCCGTTAAATTAATCCGTTAATTATATTTGCTAATTCGCAGTCTATTATTTCATTTCAGAAATACCTTAAAGTATAAGTACTGCTTTTTATATATACTTAATTTATTGGCATTTATATTCCATTATTTTATTTGAATAATTTATTTAACATTTTCACGTTGCTACTTTCTTTTAATATTTATTTGTTGATATTTTCGTTTCAATGTATCTCATTTAAGCTGCATATTTCAAAGTTATATATACTACTTATTTTTAAAAATTAATTTGTTAATAGCCACATACAGTTGCAAGAGTTCTGCGCTCGAAGAGAAATCACTATTGTTATTGTCATTATTATAATTATTAATGTGATGCGCCTTCGTAACAATTATTAGTGGAGCGTGTCCGCACAAATTGCATTTATTATAGAAATTATTTATAACGCATGATCTGTGCATCGCACCGAAAAGAGATCAGGAAAAGGGAAAAGGAAATGCATGCCGATAAAGTATGTAATATTTTTGCAAATAACCGTTAAACCATCAACACGTTTTTATGGTAGCCATTTGCGCGAACTCTACTTTTCTCCCTCTGCTTCTCTGCCGTTCGCTAATTTCTCCTGCCGAAATTATCACCGTTATTTACACTATTCATGTTACTTCGCCAGTTGACAACAGAAAACGTATTTGCGGCGAACTGAATATTCCCCAGAGATTATGAACACAGAAAACGGACGCATACTCACGTGTGCGTCAATACACTTTCATATATAAACTTGTTTAAATAAATATTTTGTTTTGCGAAAAATGTTTCATTTTGTATTTGAATAGGATTCCAATGTGTCTACAGGATTAATTCTAAATTAGTTCCATGTTCAAAATTAAACCAAGTTAACGCCAAAAAAGTAACGATCGAGTATTGATAATATTAAATAACACAGAAATTTCCTCCGGTTAATGTAAAAATGTAAATATGATTTTCTCGCTTGTATAAGATTAATATCTTTTTTAAATATTCTTAAAAATAAATTAGCAATTAATTGTGTCTGTGTTGCATCAAACTTTCAATAGTATTTTATTATAATGTGTAATTATTCTATTTTTAAATCCCGTGAGAGAGGAAACACGAGTCTTAAACATCTGTAATTAATTACATGAAATAGCGCGAATTGTTTACAATACGCATAAGGGAAGAAAAGGGAAGAAAGCAGTTTACCTATCGATACCTCGATTCTCGACGATGCAATTCCCGTTGAAGCAGTCGAAGCTGACACCTTTCGATTCTCCATGATACGATTGACTCGTTATCGTAGCGTTATTGGCGAGCGAACAAAAGAGCCTTCGATGAAAGGCGCCGCGACGCCGGCCGCGAAGAACAATGGCAGAAGTCGGAGAGAAAGCCAGAAGGAAAAAAGATCGGGAAAGCTCAATGGCGAGATCGAGACCGTGCGCGTCAATTTTCTTTATTCCGAATTGAAGGAATCGTCGAAATTATCACATATAATACTGATATATATGTGTTGACTCTTTTTGTATTTATACATTGAACCAGTATAAGTCTCACATATAATTTTATATGTGTAATAATAAGCTATTGTTTATAAATATATAGTGATTAAATTTAATGATCTGAGATTATTTATAAAAAAAATTATATACGAGCGTAAGATGAAAACTTAATTTAAATCTTTCTAGTATGTATAATAATAGCACAATATAAAAATTACTCAATCTTTGAAGGAAACAATTTATATAGAAAAAACCGTTTGTCTATATGAATTCATGCAACATAATGCTGAGAGTATAATCTTAATTTTGGATAATGCAAGAATTTAATGGCGCAATTCGATAGCGTCAAAGTGATATAACTTGTGGAAAGCCAAGTGAATATCGTTCAAGAGAGATCGCAATTACCGCAGCTTAATTAACTTCCGACGCAACATTAGTGAATCATGAGAGCGATTAATCGATATTCAATTTCGCATAACGTGCATCGTTTGGCCATGACATCGTGACCCTCGTGATCCATTCAGATTGATATTGTAAGGACATAATGACAAAAATAATAATAATGAAGATAATGACGATAATTACGGAATAAAATCAAAGTTTGGATGTATCAGTTTTAGAATTTACAAAGAACTATATATATATATATATATATGTAAAGTCGAAATAATAATAGTGATTATATTACAATTAAATTTTTGTGCTGCAACTTAACTCTTTTAATCTCATGTAC